TCCTTGAACTCGCAGGTGTCGAGGCGGACGCCTGAGCGCGCAGGGCAGCGCGTCTCCATGACGGTGAAGTTGAGGCGCTGCAGGGAGCTGAGCTGGATGTCCTGCAGGGACAGGGATGGGCACAGGGACAGGGTGGTTGGCACCCACCACGGAGAGATGGCACCCACCACCATGTGCCCAGAGACAGCTCACAGCAGAGCATCCCCCCACATCCCATCCTACACCCCTAAACCCACCCCCACCACCTCATGCACAGGTTCTGGTGTCCCCCCCCGATGTCCCCACAGGCACAGCGGGGGACCCGGTGGTGTCTCCAAGTGGTGACACTCACCGGGGTGGGCTCGGGGTCAGCGCTGAGCAGCCTGAAGACGTTCTGCACCTCAGGGCGCTGGTTGTAGGAATCCACGGCCTGAGCCAGCGCCTGGGTGTAGGTGAGCGGGGCCGGGAGGGCACAGGCCCCCCCCAGCACCGCCACCACCAGCACCCAGGAGTTCAGCATCGTGTCCCTGCGGTCACCAACACCACCCCCCAACCCATGTCCCCTTTTATCCCCTCCCGGGAGGTTGGGAAACCCACCCCAGAGCTTGACTCCCTCCCCCTCCGGAAACACCTGGCCCCAGCCCACAGAGTGGCAGTTTTTTTGGGGGGGGAGGAAGACAAACAGGGCAGGGGGTCCTGAGCGTTTCCCGCATCTGGCCCCCCTTGGGGGCCTAACCCCACTTCCCAGGGTGTCCCCAACCGCAGGAGCCCCTTGGGTGTGTGTGGGGTGGTGGTTTGGGGATCCCGAGGGGGGTGCAGGGGGGGACAGGGCAGCGCAGGGACCCACAGGGACCACGGTGACACCGGGAGCACTGCAGGGGGATGTTTATTGCAAGCAGAGCACCCAGGCAGGGGGGCACAGGGTCAGGGGGGGACACAGCATCAACCGCTCAGGGTTTGGGGTTTTTGAGGTCGAGCTTGTCACGGATCCAGATCTTGCTACACTGGGAGAAACCCCTGAAACGTTCCTTGATCCTGGTAAAAAAATCCGTGAGCCTGGATCTGGATGTGCGGAAATGGCCGAGCTGGGAGGAGAAGTGGCAGAGTCAAACCTTGGGGAGATGGGAGGTGCCCCGGGGGATGTGTCCCACGGCAACCAGGGGTGGGAGCAGGTGGTGAAGGGAGAGCACCCAGTGGGGACAGTGCCATTTTGGGCATTTTCTTACCTTGGTGGGCACCTTCTCACAGGAGAGCTCGACCGTGGGCTGCTGCTGCTCGAGGAAGACAAAGCCCCGGCACCAACTCACCGCCTGTGGGGAAGCAGAGGGGGGTCAGGATGTGGCTGAGAGGAGCCCAAACCCTTCCTCGTGCCTCAGTTTCCCTGCCAGCTGCTCCCCACTGAGGATGACAGCAGGTGGTCCCGCAGGATGAAGCCTCACCCCGAGCCAGCGGCTCTTGCAGGCGCCAGTGGCCGTCCCCGGGGCTCGGCACGAGGTCTCCTCCACAGTGAAGCTCAGCTCCTGCCGGTCCTGAAGGTCCACGAGCTGGGAGAGGGGACAGGACCCATCAGCTGACAGTCCCCAATGCCCAGCCCCAAAACAGGCTGGATCCACCCCAAGAGGGGCCACATCCAGCCTGGAGATGGAGCCCCAACTTGAGTGGGCTACATCCCCACAGGGGGTTGGACCCAGCCCCAAAACAGGCCAGATTCAGCCTCAAAAGGGGGCTGTATCCTGCTCCCGGGATGGAGGAGCTCAGCACTCACCCAGCCGGGTGGAGACTGGGACTCCCGGAGCCGCAGGACATAGGGACTGACGGCCCTGGCATTCAGCAGCTCCACGGCCGCCGAGACGACGTCACCATAGCCCACGGCCCAGAGCCCAGGCAAGGATGGTGGGACGGAGCCAGGCAGGCCTCCCGGCGTGGATCCATCCAGCCCTGGCGTGGTGGCTCTGGCCGAGGCCAGCAGCAGCAGAAGTGGCACCAGCATGGCTGGGCACAGCCTCATCCTGCCTCCTGGCACCCGCCGTGCTGAGGAGCCCTTTTATAGGAGCTGCCACGGGTGTTCCCACTGGCTAGTGCTTCCCCCTGCGCAGCCGGGAAATTCCCAGCGGGTCGAATCCAGCCAGGAGCTGAGTCCGTCCCCATTTGGTCCCCAGAGCAGTTGTCCCAACCCTGGGGTCACCTCTGGGGCTCAGCAGATGAGAAGCCACAGGATTTGGGGTCTCCACAGGCGCAAGGACAGGGCTGACACCAAGTGACAACATGGCCATGGACCACCCCCAAGGTGACCCCCAAAGAGCCGACCCAGGTTTGATGGGGACATGGGGTGACACCACATTGGGTTTCCCACCCCCATTCTCCCACAGGGTTAGATGAAGAAGCCACCCTGCCCCCCCCGACCGGGGCTTTCCAGCCCCCCAGTGGTGTTTTATGGCTGGGCGGGGCAGTAAAGACATCTGTCCCTCACGACAAACAAGGTGGGTTTGACCAAACACCAGCCTCGGGAGCAGTCACTCTCTCTGAGGCCAAGCAGGAACCTCCAGGAGGGCATCAAGGGACACTGCCCAGAAGAAGACACCCCCCCGCCCCAGCAAGGGGAAGCCCAAAGCCACCCAACAGGTTCAGAGCTCCCGGCCAGCGGAGGTCATGGAGTACGCGGCTTGTAAATCAAACGGGGACAAGCACACCCGGGTGGCAGCTGGGAAGTTCCCAGGGATGGATGTTGGCCATCACAGAGCCATAGGTTGGCCCCGGAAAGATCTAATTGCAACCAGGTCCAACCTTCCATCAAGAAGGGACCCTCACTCCTCATCCAGGTTCATCTTGAGAACCTCCAGCAACAGGTACTCCCCCTCCCCAAGGGGGTTCTTCCAGTGAATGACTGGTCTCACTGTATGCCTAAGTTGAGATGAAGCCTCTCCCAGTAGCCATTGCCCTTTGCCTTCTCCATGTGGCTCCTTGAAAGCCTCCACCCTTGGAGTACTGGACTGCTGCGATGACATCCCCCCAGAACCTTCTCCTCTCCAGGGAGAAGAGACCCAAATCCTTCAGTCTTTCCTCCTAGAGCAGGTTCTCCAGCCCTTTGATCTTCATCCTGGCTCTCCTTGGGACACTCTCCAGTCTGTCCACATCCTTCTTGACTTGTGGAGACCAGAACTGGACCCACCACTCCAAGGTGGCCTGGAGGAGAGCTGCTTTGCTGGACCTCCTACTTCCAAACAAGGACGAGCTGGTTGGAGGGGGCAGCCTCAGCTGTGGTGATCATGAGACTGTGGAGCTCAAGATCCTGAGAGGAGGAAGCTGGGCAGAAAGCTAGATCACCACCTGGACACTTCCAAGAGAGAGTCTGGCCTCACAGAATCATCCCGGTTGGAAAAGGCCTTGAAGATCCTCCAGCCCAACCATGAACCTCACCCTGACCGTTCCCAACTCCACCAGATCCCTCAGCACTGGGTCAACCCGACTCTTCAACCCCTCCAGGGATGGGGACTTCCCCCCTGCCCTGGGCAGCCCATTCCAACGCCCAACACCCCTTCTGCAAAGAAATCCTTCCTCAGAGCCAGCCTGACCCTGCCCTGGCGCAGCTTGAGGCCTGGAAGAATCCCATGGGATACAGCCCTGGAGAGAAGTGGTGCTCAGGAGAGCTGGTTGATTTCCAAGGATCATCTTCTCCAAGCCGAACAGGCCATCCTGACAAGCAGGAATGAAGAGAGGCAGTGGAAGGTCTGCAAGAAACTCCTGACTGAGCTCAAGGACAAGAGGGATACGTACAAGAGATGGAAGCCGGGATGAGAGGAAGATGCAGGCTCTGCCCAAGCTGCAGGGTTGGGTTTAAGCAAGTCAAAACCCCCCAGGGCTTGTACTCAACGAGACAATGGTCAGGAGCCATCAGCAGGGCCTGAAAATGGGCTCAACAGCCAGGCCCGGGGGGTGGTGATCAGCAGCACAAGTTCCAGATGGTCACTGGTGCTGCTCCCAGAGGTCCATAACAGGACCAGAACCATTTCACACCTTCCCTAACAATCAGGACGATGGGGCAAGAGCACACCCACAGCAGGCTGGTAGATGACACCAAACTGGGAGGAGTGGTTGATGCACCAGAGGTTTGTCCCACCATACAGAGGGACCTCAACAGGCTGGAGGAACCTCACAGGGTTCAACAAGGAGAAGTGCCACGTCCTGTGCCAGGGGAGGAACAACCCCAGGCATCAGGACACGCTGGGGGCCACCCAGCAGCCTGTCAGAGAAAGCCCTAGGAGTCTTGGAGGACACCAGAGTGACCATAGGCCAACATCAGAACTGGTTGCTCAGAGGGGTTGTGGAGTCTCCAGTATTCGATATACCCAAAGCTCAGGAGGTGGCCCTGGGCAACCTGCTGTGGCTGAGCCAGCTCTCAGCAGGGTCCCTGCCCACCCATCTGTGCTCCTCCAACCTGAGACAAGCTTTTGGGGAAGGCAAATTCATTTCAAACACTTCAATTCTGCCAAACTCCCTCCAAATTCTTCTAAATTCCTGCCAAATTCTCCAGTTATGTGCAGAAAACTGGATCTGCTGGGGGTACACCCAGCACCAGGGGGGTCCTTGCTGGGACTCCTGCCCCTCTGCGGCACAACACCAAGGTGAGCAAAGCCAACTGCCTTTTATCAGACCCAAAATCCTCCCAGATATCGGACATATAGTCAAGCAGCACCCACATCCCAGAGGGAGTCAGGCACCCGATGCCCACAGTAGGCTGTACCAGCCCTCGAGGGAATTTTTTTGCTCCATTTTTCCTGCAGCTCATACTCAGGATTTAACATCAACCAAAAACAGTGTCAATACATCTGAATATTTTTTAAACATCCTGCATTGACCCCGACCAGACTCACCCTTTTCAAAACAGACCTGAAATCCTGCGAGGCCATTTTGGGAGCAAACAAGATGAAATTTGGTGAGTTTAGTTGGGGTAACTCCACACTCATGCAGCCACAGCTGCGCTTCTCAGGCCAACTCCCCACCCCTGACAAAAAGAAGGGGTAAACAACACCCCTAAAACCAAACACAAAGGCCCTGAGCCATGAGAAATACCCCACTCATAAATCAATCGCTTGCTTTATTTGACTGTCAAAAGATTGAGCTGCCCCTCCTCATTCCTGGCAACCCACTTATTTATATATTTGTCTTTTATTCATACCTACAGCCCAGCCCTGACCTGTTTGGACACTCTGATGCCGTAGGAAAGAAAACACAAGGGTCGGGTGAGGCAGAATCTTACCGATGACACCTCAGTAGGTAAAGTGAGGGCATGGCTGGTCCATCGGCCCTGGAGGAGCAGCAGCACCAGAGAGGGGCAGGGGAACACACCCCCCCCCCAAAAAAAACAAACAAACAAAAAAGGCAGCTGAAGGAGGAAAAGGCTGGGGGGGAAGCTATGGAAGG